GGCTGGCTACTTATTTATATAAAAAATATTGTACATCTTAATGGTAGTTTAAATATAAGCAAGTAAAATCTTCATATCTTCAAAATTGGAGCACAGTTTGTTTGCCTTTGAGTTTCTAAAGAAGATTAAATAATTTCGATTTTTTAAGGTAATTAAGGATTAGGCTTAAATTCATGGGTGATGGATTCGCAAGGAGCGGTAGAAAATCGGAATTTGGTATAGTATTAAGGCGAAGATTATTAATATCCTTTAATATGTTCAAAACAGAGGTGTTCGCATTATTGCAGAAAATGCATTGGTTGCAGGGCGGTTGTAAAAATTTGCTTTTTGTGAGTAAGCCTTGTGTGGTCAAGTCGTAGTCGTATTAGGGTCGTTTGTTCCTTTCTCGATAAATTGCAAAAATAAGCGCACTTAGTAAAATCAGCCATGGTCAATGAACCGTCATTCAGTCGTTTGTACCAGTTTGGAGGATTCTAGATGGAGATTAGAATTACGATTTGAAAAAGTCGACTTTAGGAATCTGCGAATTTCTGATTTGTTAATATTAGGGCTTGTGATAACTGGAGACATTGTGGCTAATTTGGGTGCTTGGTCTGCAAATTCATTTCCTGCGATTCCAAAGTGGCTCGGAACCCAAAGTATTTTAATTTTGCTTGGAAAATTTGTTAGAAGTCTGATAGCTTCAAGAATAGCTACTGCTTCTGCTGCATAGACCGTTGAGTAAGCTGGCAAGATCCCCAATTTATCCCTCTTCGGATAATGATCCATCGGTATAGATTAACTTGTAGTTATGCAAATCTCGTTTTTTTAACAAAAACTCTTTTGTTGAGATGTCCTTTGGTGTGGTTGATTTGTTGTATCTGCTAAATTGTGTATCTAACGAGTTCTCAGATAGTTTCCATGGGGGTCTTGAAGTTGGTAACTTTTTTATAAAATTCATTGAGAAACCAAGTTTTGAACACAGATTTATACTTTTAAAAAGCAATAATTTTATTTACTAGTGGTTTAAGAGGGGTGTCCTGGCAGCGTGCGATTGTATTGAAGAGGTTAGCTGTCATATAATGAAATTTTGAAAAAAAAAAAAAAAAAAAAAAATACGAGAGAATTGGTCTCCACGTAGAGGTTTTTGATTGGTGTTGATGGGAAGGCGCACGTAGGGCTGCGTTCATAATTGTTTCTATAGGCCTTAGTGTGGATTTCGCAGCGTTGCCATAAAATGGGAGACAAAAGTCTATTTTTCACATACAAATGCTATTTGCAACCTGTATTAAAGTTGGAGGATGGCAATTGTATTTGGAGCTGGCAAGACATTTGATGATGTTAAGTGAGTTGTTTAGCGATTTTTGTAGCTTCTTAATGTGTGCTCCCCATTTGTGTTTTGCGTTAAAATATAGGCCTAAGATTGTTATTTCATTTGTTGTGTTGATAGTAGCTAATGTTGTATCAATTTTGGATTGGCAGCTAATCTTTCTGCATATGTGTATGTGTTTGCACTTGTTAAGCGATAGGGAAGCTCCTGAAACTTCACACCAGTTCTCAGCGAATAGAGGATCCAGATTTATTCTTGTGTGTTTGCGTTCGTTCAGGTCGATCAGGATGTTGAAATCGTTAGCATAAGCGGTGAACTTCAGAGTTTTGTGTTTTTCTAATATAGCCGCGACATTGTTAAAAGCAATCAGAAATAAAATTACTAAAAGTGGTGATCCTTGCGGGATTCCATTGTGTAGAGGTTGTATCTCGGAAAATGTTTGGTTAGAGCGTACACGAATCTTTCGGTTGGTCATAAAGTTTGTAACGTAGCGGATAATCGTGTAACCGCAGCTGGTTAACCACTGTATGGATTCCTATTTTTTCAAACGCTTTCTCGAAGTCCAGGGAGATAATAGATAACTGTCTTTATTCGGAAAGGGCTCTGTTTATCAGAGCGTCTACGTACAGTAGACAGTCTGTAACATTTTCCTTTTTTGAACCCCATTTGGTTACTATTGGTAAGTTTGTTTGATGTAACAAACCACCAAAGTCTTTTAGCCATTTTTTTGTCTAAAACTTTTGCTAGGCAAGGGTTTAGAGAAATGGGTCTATAGGAAATTATAGCTGTTTTGTCGGTACCTGGTTTGTGGGTAGGTATAATTGTACTGGTCTTGTAGGATTGGGGTATCTGTGATTTTAAGATGTTATAAAATAAGGTTATAATTCTATTTTTAACATTTCCTAAAACGTTGATCATCGAGTAATTAATTTTGTCGTGTCCTGCAGAATGACCCTTTAAGCTATTTAAAGCTGTGTAGAAATCCAAATAGTTTGTGTCATCCTCCATAAATTCTGCTGATTTATGAGGAGGTTCAAAATGTGTCTTGCTGAGGATATCGTGTTTAGCTTGAAGGAAAGCCGTCGAGAAATTAGAGTCCTTTGAGCGTGTAGACCAGTGTCTGGAGAATGCGTTCGTGATTTCTTTAAGGTTAGTTACTGGATTAGGGTTTTTTACGCAATGGATAGTAGATGCTCTATGGATTCCCCAGAACTGTTTAATTTTGTTCCATACAATTTCGGTTTTTGTGTTAGGTGAAATGATAGATGTCAGAATGTGGATGCTATCTTTTTTGCTTGCCCTAATTTCAAATCTGTACTTTGCATTGATTTGTTTAAAACGTATTAAGTTTTCAATGCTCATGTTCCTTTTGAACTTTTTCCACGCTATGTTTTTATCTCAGAGCTTTCAGAGGCTGTGGACATAAATTCTTCATTATCATATTGTAATATGGGTCTGTTGCCTGAAGATGGTTGGTCTGTTAGTTTTTGATGGTTTACTAAAGATTCTGATGAAATTGAAGTTTTGGATGATGTTGTAGGTTGAGTTGATGTTGTTTTTGTGGTTTGTTATAGAGATCGCCCATGGTTAGGGCTTGCCACTGTGGAGAATAGAGAACCGTCATGTTGGTGTCTGGATCTGTAGATTGCACACGCTTCGCGATTGTTTACTTTTTGAAGTGTTTTGATCTTCTTCTACTTCTTTGTGCGAGATGAGAACAGGGCACGTAGAATCTCTGGCGTGATGGTTGTTGTTAGCGAATTTTTTCTTTCTACAGTTGATGCAGCTCGCTTCGTTTGAGCATTCCTCTCCTAAATCGAGTTGAATATGGGCTGGTAGACTACACTTTAGGCAAGATTCAGGCAGCTTGCAAAATTTAACCATGTGTCCAATACGTAGGCAATTAAAGCAGCGCATAACTGGTGGGATATATGGACAAAGATTCACTCGTTCGTATCCGATGTAATAAATTCCGGAAGATCGAGAGTAGAGAAGGTGACTGCATTTAGTCCTGTTTCGATTGGCACACGCTGGGTAAGTCTAGTGAACTTTTTCACCTCGATAATTTTTTGAGATTTAACATTATCTAGAATTTCCTCTACCTCAATACCTATTAGGTCTCGGCTATATATCACGGCTTTGCAGGTGTTCAGAGATCTGTGTTCTGAGACTGAGATGGGTATGTTGCCAGGAATTTCTTTAAGCTTTAATAACTTATCTGCTTGGAGTTGGTTTTTTGTCATAATCAAGATTTTTCCGTCTCTGAGTTTTTACGTTCAGCCACTTCTCCGCCCGCAGTTACGTCAATAATTTTTTCAGTGTGAATGGTAAGACTTTTGGTGATGATTAGAAATCTACCGTCGGGTGCGGGGGGCCTCTTTAAGGCATTGTTAATTTTGTAATTTGAAGACTTAGTAGGCGCACGCCGAGCTCACTGATTTGTTTGCTGATAAGAGAACCATAAAAGAATCGGGTCGGGTTGGTTCGTTTCGAGCGATCGCAGGTTAATGACTATAGAGAGCCACAAGATTGGCACAACCGTTCGTATCGAGAGTCGAAATTGAACTGAGCTTAATTCGCTATTTTTTTTTTGACTACTCTTAAATCGAGAAAAAAATTTCATAAAAATCGGACAACTATATTAAAAAGCTGCCATAGGAAAGTTTGAGAAATCTATATGAAATTAACGGAAAAAAGAACAAAAGCTATATACCCTTGCAGTAATCAGTTGATCCAAATGCATAAAGGCTAAAAACATCAACATATGACGATTTTTCTATACATTTTTCATATTTTCGACTATTGATTATATGGCAGCTATAGGATATAGTTGTCCGATTTTGATAAAATTTGATTCGTAATTCAAAAGTCGTTAGAAAACTCTATATTCCTAAAATGGTGCTTGTCTGATGAAAAACAACGATGTTATAATTTTATTTTTCGATCTTTCTTATAGCTTCCATAGGAAAGATCGAAAAATCTATATAGAAATAACGGAAATAAAATTATAACATCGTTGTTGTCAATCAATGTCATATGAACAATTGTCGAAAATATAGAAACCTAATAGAAAAATTGACAAAGCTTCGATGTTGTTTAGCCATTTTATATTTTGTTCAACATATTTGATGACTGCAATGTCGACTTGCCGAATCCAGCTTCCTTTCTTGTTATAAAATTTAATTAAAACTTACATTTACTGTGCTACCGGTGGCATGGTTTTTTTTTTACTGTTGAATTGCGTTTCTATCTTTTGAACAGCTTCTAAAGCTAGCAGCGGTCTTATCGGTTTGGTGTTGGCGTCGTTTTCTGTTTTCTTTCGGAGCAGTAAGAGCTGGTGGAGCTTGGTTCATATGCTCTTCTGCGATTTTAGTCAAACAAAACTTGGATTAGTCTTTGCCGCGGCTTTGTTTGGTATTTGGGATCATGAGCTGCATATACCTATTGTTTGTGCGAAGCCAGTATTGCCTAAAAAGCTCGCCTATCTCCGTGATCTTTTAAGCTACAGTGAGCCGCTAAACCGTTTTTAATATAAATAAATATTAATATAGTGTCATGACTAGTAACGTTTTTAGTATAATTTAATTATTTTAACTAATTATCTCATTATATTATATTAAGTTAAAATAAAAACATACACGTATATATTTTCATTAAATTAGCGCAATAAAATTTATATGAATACTTGCAGAAGCCAGTCATTCAAAGAAGATGATGGAACTTGGAAAGGCAATGATGACGGAAAAGTTGTAAATAATCAACCGCAAAGAGTCATGGATGATAGGAATGGAATGATGGCACAAGCGGGATATATCGGCAGGTAATAATATAATTCCTTAACAACCTAGTAGAATGATTTTGACCAATAGAGAACCGCACCGAGACCAACATAGTTAGAAATGTATTTTCTTTAAGGCAGGTTCTCACCTTGTGGAGCCGAAAAATTACACTTTTTTAAAAAGGGGCGGGAGGGGTCGTTCCTCGGTGGCGGCATGTCGGCCTAGGGGTGTCCCGCTAACGGAAGTGATTCATTGATTCAAAAGATTTTTGAGGTGTACATTACTGTGCATAAAATGAACTAGGATCAACAAAAAAAAATTTTAAATTGCAAAAGTTATTAGCTTTAGAAAAAAAATTATGATTTCCGCCCTTTTTTTCTTAATTTATATTCATTTTAACAAATAAAATTTTTCAATATTTTTGGATAATCCTAGTTCATTTGTTAAAAGAAACAATTAGGAACATTTAAAAAAAAAACTTTGATGACGGGTTAATCCCAACGCCATCAAATATTTCCGTGAGATCCGAAAACGTGGTTCTGAGATAAACGCGTATAAAGTTTTGGCTTCAAATGGACGGTGCTCGACGTGTGCTCCATGTAAAGGCGTGTAACTCCTGTAGGTTTTAAATTTTCAGCTGAAATTTCTTGAGAACATTTTCGGAACCCGCTTAAGTTGGGTTGAATAAGAGATCGTAGTGTACACCTTGGAGTTACATTTAACATTATATATACGCTGCCAGTCTTGTATTCACCTGGATGTTCTCGTGCAACACCTGAAACCTTTTTCGCAATGGTTTGCAAATAAAAAAATGTCTTGCCTTACGCGTTTATTAAATATGCCAACGGTCATAGTTGACTAGATGAATAGGAGTAGTAATACATTGATGAGAACCTTTGGTAATTACGCAAACAGAGGCCTTTTCGTTTGATGGTAATTTCTTTCCAGACAGAATGTTCATTATTATGGTTTATTCTGAAAGCGTTTTGATATAAAAGTATATGATTTCGCTATATTAATTTATATTCATTTCACTATTCGGTCTGAATAAACACAAATTTAATATTATTTTTTTTTTTACCGATAGTGCAGCTGCCTATGCACAATACCGTTTTAAATAGCTCTACAAAATTTATACAAAACAGTATTGCCAAGCTGTGATTATTTTTCAGTCCTTCATTTCTAATCCGTAAAGCTTATTAAGCTGCATTCTAATCTGCTTGAACAACGAATTCGAGAGCTACTCATTACATATTTATATTTTAATATATTATTTTAATTTCAGTTAGAAGCTTACAACGCAGTGAAGCAGACACCTAACATCCCGAAAATAATTTGATCAGTACCACAATCTGATTCGATCTAGACGAGTTCAGGGTTTGTCCGGAAAATAATAGGACTGATAACACTGTGCGACAAAAAAATGTATAAGTTGATTTTTTCTCATTTTTCACTTCTACTAATCAAAATAAGAATACTAGTTTGTGGATTTGTTAATATCAATAGCCAATCAGCTTTTACGCACACTCAAATGTCCCAAAAACGCCCGTTTTTGCATATTTCACAGCTTTACAATCACATATTGGAAAAATATTTTTTCACCGTTATAAGCGTTCATGCAAGATCAATATCTATTAATTAAAATGTATTAAGCAAATATACCGTTAGGCTTTTATCACAATGCTTTAAAATTTTTTTTCCCCGCTCTATACTCTGGGCGACTACGTATGGAACTTGTTACGCGAGGATACCTCTGAAAAAGCCAAAAAAAAATCAGGAAAAAAAATCACTTTTAAAAAAAATAATAGTTTATTGGAAGTAAAAAAAATAATAATATTTTGTGTTAATTATTTTCATAATAATAATTTCATAAAATTTACCATGAAAAAAGAAATCGTTTCACTTAAAATGTGGCATAAATATTTTTTCGCATAATTTATGCACCTTAACCGAAAACAATCAAAAAAGTAACTTAAACAAAGATTTTGTTAAATTTTGTCGCACAGTGTAATCTCCCACCGCCACTGTACTTTGGAGCGTGCGTGCACCGACTGGACATGGTAGAGAGCTTTCTTAACTAAATAATGAAAGGTTTGTCACTTGTCTCCGAGCACTTGGACAGGCATTTTTGTGGCGGCGGGGATAATCAGTCCTATTACTTTCCGAACAAACCCTGTAGGTCTGTCCGTCTCTCAGTTTTAAAGCTACATATATATTTAGGGTTATAGCTTTAACGAGTTACCTACAAATGTTTATTTATTATAATTCTGGATATTCTTAATGTCTTATATAATTTAAATGTGCTTGACGTGTTCTCTCTTAACTTCTTAGTTTTCTTCTTTCACACTTCTTAGTTTTCCTCTTTTTCGTTTCATCTTTTACCACTTAAGCTCTCGACTTCGACCGCTCTGTTCGGCTTCTCATTCCGAAGTGTGTCCGTATTTCTTAAAGCTTAACATCCTTAACATTAATTCTTAAATACTAAATACTTTATACTTAATACTAGATCCTTAACTTGCCAATCCTAAATATATATCTGTAAAACTTTACCAAAAGCTGTCTAGAAACGGCTATACCGGATAACTCCCATCGATTAAATTATTACGCTCTTGATTTTTATCATATTGACAGGATTTTTTTTTAGATAGTGTTTTTTTGCCAATCCCAACCGTATTAAAAATATATCCCTCCATTCGATATGAAAAATTTGGTTCTTTAGGTTCTGGCTCATTTTAGTTATAGTTCCGTGATGACATGTTATCTTTTTTTGCCCAATTTCTTAAATACTTTGTATGGCAAGCACATTACAAACTTGTCCAGAATAAAAAACTCAAAGCGAATTAAAAATTCTTTTTCGGCTCTGCCTTGCGCGCTTTACTTGGCTTCTTATGATACATAGAAAAAATGTTTTGAAATGCTAAATAATATGTGCTGTGAAACATTTCAAAGTTAATAGCTATTAACAGTCAGCCTTGCAGTGTCCTCGTAAAATTAGGGAAGGGGTCATCCTCCAAATCGTCATCTTCATTTGGGTCATCAGGTGGCAGTATGCACCAGGGCTTCATCTCGTCGAGCGCGTATACTGACTTGCAGTGTCTCTGCTTCCTGTGGGCATGTGGGATATCTTCAAGAAGATATCTGTTATTTGGTAGTCTGTATTCTGTTTATTGTAGTCTGTAGTCTGTTTATTGTCACCTATAAAAGGACCTTTATATCGAATCTCCAGCTTGCGTGGTTGCCAGTGCCAAAAGGATTCCTTTCGGCCTAAACGAGGTATTCAAGACTATACATTGTTGGCTTAGAATGTCTATTATCGTTATGTTTCTAAACATTCGCTCTATGATCATTGACAAAACGCAACTTTTAGCTGCGTTTCTGCATCCGTTAACATATTTTGGTTCTGGTCTTGAATTGCATCTGTCGATGTGTTCTTCATTATATCTCGGGTCTCGTAACTTTGAAAAGGTTGAAATGGGGAACATTTAGCGGTACCACTTATCGTCGTGATTATGCACCACTGGATTGCGTGCATATTTTCATCCCAACGTTTATCATTTAAACTAAAGGCAAACAAATTAAAAGAATAACTCTATTCGCTCGTTCATTTATTCTAGGTGTCATTTCAGCACTATGTATAAGCTTAGTGTTATCTGACTTGCAGTATTTTTCGTTACCTTTAGAAGTGAATGCTGTTCCCCGATTGGTGATGATTCTGTTTGGAATTGCTAAGTAGCTTAATCCATCTTTTAGAATGTCAAAAACGTGTTTGGTTGCTATACTTTTAACTGCTCGATTGACAGAAAAAAAACATCGTCAATTACAAGAATAGCTCATTGTAGTATTTGAACTGCTCCAACTACTCGATAGATCGGCTTATGTAAACGATTTGCTTAATCTGATCCTCTTTACATTGTTGCAATACTTTGGCTTACCCAATCGGAATCTCATCTGTGTGTAGTTCATGCTTAGCATTTAAGTGATAACTTTTAATAACTGGTTTTGATATTATGCATTTCAAATTCATCAAAAAAATCTTTATCTGTTTTTTCCAGAATTTTTGCTCTTTTTGCAATAGAAAACGCAATGTCTCAGATGTTATGGAATGATGGAACAAAAAAAGAAAAACAGCTGGGGGTTTTTAGCTGGAAAGGAAATCGTTTGAATTTGTATTATCCATCCGTAGAGATTAATTCTGTATACTTTCTGCTTTGTGGAATTTCGTTCTGGTAATATTCACTATTGAGGAAGAGAAAAGTTTTTAAATTGTTTTGCATATTCCAAACGCTCTTCGATGTTGGGAACAGGGAAACTTTTCTTCTGAATAAGTTTATTAAGGCAACAATCGACGGACATACGATCACTACCGTTCGGCTTCTCTGCTTGGCTGCTTTTGACGATGACATTGGCTTGAACTATGCTTGTTTTTCATATGCCTTGAAATCCTGACGAAAAATAATCAGCTTACACTTCTAGTATATTTCTCAAATTGTCTCGCTCGTTGATATTCTGAAAACTATCCAAAAGTTTTTCGTTTATATTATCACTTACAGTTGTTCTGACATGGGGACTGATAATGTCATACTTTTAGCAAAAATGATCCTCCTCTTGGAGGACTGGTTAGAGACATTGAGTCTGGCGTATTACCCGGCGGGTCCTGATCAAGTCTACACACACGAGTCCTTATTCGAGGAAAACGTGCTATCGGTGGGGAAGAGTCAAGAACCAGACGCATACCGTAGGGTCTACCAGACGGTAATCCGGCGTTCGCTTAGTCTGTCTCGTGGCGAGGGTTACGTCGTGGTGCGACAAGCCGCGAAGGACGCGCAGTTGAACTGCACGGGTGTTAAAGGCGTATACGCCGAGAACCCTGCGGTATCTGCCAGAGTCCTGGAGCAGCAGAGCCACGAGAGCCAAGGATTGAATAGCCCCAGCATGAAGTAGTAGAGCCGGGCGGGACAGAGCAAGGGACAGGAGGTCGCGGTTGCTAAGGGCATACGCCTGGAGAGCACGGCGCCTGTTCACCCTAGTCTGAGAACGGTGA